AAGAAAGAAAGAAAGAAAGAAAGAAAGAGAGAGAGAGAGAGAGAAAGAAAGAAAGAAAGAAAGAAAGAAAGAAAGAAAGAAAGAAAAGGAAATTAACTCAAAAGTGTCTTGACTTCAAGTCCAGTGGTGCTGAGAGCTCTCTTGCCCAGCGACTGCCTCAGGCTTGAGCATGAAGTGTCTTACAGGGGCCAATTCAAGGCCCAGCTCTCCCTTTGGGTCTGCTTGTCCTAGCATCCATGGGCAATGTGTTTACTTCCCTGAACCTGGCAGGGGCCAAGCACCCAGTAATAACGTGAGTCCAAGAGAGTACACTAGACCTGAGGTGGTGTGGCACAGAGTTTTGCAGAATGCACTGTGAGAACACAATGTATGCTGGTCATAATCAAATCTGTCAAAAATTGAAACAGAAAAATAGAATTTTTCCACATTAAAACGTAAAGTAGCTATCTTGACATTGGCAGGTTCTTTCCAACACAGTCAAGTTTGTTTTTTTTTTTTTAATCTAGACCATTCTATCAGTAGCAAAGAAATCGCTTCTTCAAAGAGAAAGATAAGGTTTCCTCTAAAAAGTAACATAGTTTCTTCAGTACCACGAGCCTCTGGGGGAATCTCCTTGGAGGACAGGCCTCTCAAGGTCCTGACATTTGGAGCTCCACCCTGGGTTAGCCCTTCCAGGACCTCCCTGCCTTCTGGCCCAAGCTTACATGGATTCCAATAGCTGCATATACTGCTCATCCCCTCGGCCTCCTTCCACCTCATGATCCAGCTTGAGGATGATTTCATTTTCAAACTGAAAAAGCAGGTAAAAATCAACAATAATAATATTAGAGGGCTGAGTGTGGAGATCCGTCAATTTATTAGTATAACCAGAGCTTTAGGGAACATCTATTATCTCCTAGATTCAGTGCTGGGGCCAGGGAATTCAAAGTGGAACAGGACTGTATTCATCCTTGGCTTACCCAGAGGGTAGAAGGAAATGACAAGAATACATGCTAAATGAGAAAGATGTGAGGGCAAGTGAAGGGAGCTGGGGGGGCACTTTTTATACACTATTTCATTTGAGCCTGTCTCCCAAGGTTAAATACAAGTTTTGTAGGAAGATGAAAGGGGAAAGGAATTCCAAGCATGTCCAAAGGCCGCAGGCAGGTGATGGAGCCCTGCATCTCTAGACAATGGTGCATTGTCATGAACAGCTATTACTTCTGCCCTGCATGCCTCTCTCCATAGTTTAGTGATCAGACCAGCCCTAACGTCAGTCCATGAAGCTCAGGTGAGCTGGGGATACTTCCTTCATGCCAAATGTGGACACCCCAAACAGGCTTAGCTCCTAATCAGTGTGTTCCAACACATATACCCCAGGAATAATAAAGACTTGGGCCAATCCAGTGAGTCTAACCTGAGGCTTTGTAAGAATTCCTAGCAACAAGTCTTTGTGCTCAACTGGAAGGTGGAGTTCTGTGAGCCCTACGCTGTTGAAGATGACCTGATGAAAGACTGCTTGGAATCAAACACCACAGAGGAAAGCAGAGGGGAGGGGTAGAGAGAGGCAGAGACCTGACGCTACTTGGAGTCCCTGGATTTACCCTCTCTTGAAGTGTTCCCATTTATATGCGGTTATACACACACACACACACACACACACACACACCAGTCAGTTTAAAATGGAATTTTACCTATAGGAAAAAAATGTTGCTGAAAAGTTCAAATAAGATACAATGCAAAGTCAGATCTCAAGGCCTCAGAGAAGCAAGGCCAGAGACAATGGCACTAGTCTGAGATCAGATTAGTGACCAGAAATCAAGTATCCTTCTATGGTTTTTCTGAATCTTGTTGCATTGAAGCCAGAGAATGTGTCAAGTTAAGAGCATTTTGCCCAGTAGAGATCATGGCTTATTCAATATACTGTCGTGAAGGGTCCATACTGTATCTCTTCCATGGAATTGTAACTCAAAACAGTTCACATTGTCCTGATACATACTCTGAAGAATGCATCCAAGCATGCAGTCCACCTCTCCCCCAGTTACTGTTGGGACAGAAACTGGCACCTGCAGAGGAGGAGGAAGAGGTCCTTGGAAAAGGCCAATGGAGGCCTCTGGACCACTTGGCTCTTAACACAGCTGTCCTAGTTTGTTTCTCTATTGCTGTGACAAAACACTCTGACCAATACCAGCTTGGGGAGAAAAGGGTTTATTTAGCTTACATCTCCTGGGTCACAGTTCAAGGTCACAGTTCATCCGGGAGCCCAAGGTAGGAAATCAGGGCAGGAACCTGGAAGCAGGATCTGGAGCACAGGCCACAGAGGAACACTGCTTACTGGCTTGCTTCCCTGGTCCCTGCTCAGCCTGCTTTCTTATGCAACTGAGGCCCACCTGCCCAGGGGTGGTACCACCCACAGTGGGCTGGGCCCTCCCACATTACTCATCAAGAAGATGCCCCTCAGACATGGCCACAGGCCAGTCCAATAGAGGCAATTCCCCGACTGAGGCTCCCTCAACCAGGTGTGTCAAGTTGACGCTAAAGCTATCCAGCACAACAGCCTCTTCGTTCTCAGTCTTCATGTCCCATGAGGCCTGGAGGTCAAGAGTTACCTTGGAATGTGATAACGTATGATGAGCAGCCAGCCCTGGCCCGACACAGCCTCCACTAAGTGGCAGTTATTATTACAGATGAAGTAGGGCTTGTCTCAAGCCTCAGATGAATAGCAGAGACCTCTTGGCAGGCTCTTCCTAGCACAGAAAGGTTGGAGTCCAGTTCAGTCTGAATCTTCAGGTGATTAAAAAAATGGCAGGGGATAGATTCACCATGCCTCTGAACACATCTCATCTGAGGCTACTGCTCCCCACTTAGGGTGCCTGAGGGTCAACAGAAGGATCAGAAAACTTGTGCTAATCCAGCACAAGTGCAAAGGAATCTGCTATAAGTTGCCAGAATTGGGGAGGACTTACTGAATGAGATAAAGCAGGCCTGGAAAGATGGGGTAGGATTGTGGTAAATACAAAAGAAGGAGCAGTGCGGGTCAGAAAGGGGGATGGTGTGAGCAAAGCTGTGGAGGTGGGGATGGTGAATATGGGACAGCAGTGTAGCTGGGGCAGGGACTTCAAGGAAGGAGGGAGGAAGGGAGGCCTGGGTAGAGGCTGTCTGGAGGGCGAAGTATTGTCAGGCTGCAAATAAATCATGTCCCTTATAGGATTCATCTTGGCAAGCATTTTGTCTGTGTTATTGTCCAATGTCATGAGCTTGGGGATGTGATGCCCAGAGATGTCTTCCGTGTTAAGCCTAAAGCCAAAAGCAGAAACAAAAACAAAAACAAAAACAAAGGCGCTACAACTGGCTGGGACTATTAGGTTTGAATCTGCAATCCTCTGCAGGCTCTGCTATTGAACACTTGGTCCCCAGGTGGTAGCACTATTTTGGGAGGCTATGGAACCTTAAGGAGGTGGGGCTAGCTAGTGGAAGTAGGTTACCAAAGGTGAGATACCAGCCCTGGTTCCTGTCATGTTTTGCTTCCTGGTCTACTATGATGTGAACAGTCTCTGCCACACAAGGCAGCTACCATAAACTGAGCTGTTCCATCATGCTTTCTCTCCCTTGATGAACCAAAACCCTGTAAAATTATGCTTCAGAATAACTTTCCATCTTTAAGTTGTTCCTATCAAGTAATTTAGACATAGAAGCACAAAAATAACTAATACATAGACTGTCTGGTGTTGGTCCTTCCTCCATTCCCTCTACTGTATTGGAAGGACTAGCAGGTCTTTCTAATCCTCAGTTTCCTGTGTTATATCACAGGCTGGCAAATATTTTCTATAAAGGGACAGACAGTAAATGCTTCAGGCTCTGAGGGCAGGATGGTCTCTGTCACAACTGCTCAGCTCTGCTATGCAAAAGCAGCCACAGACAGCATAGAAACAAACTAGCATGACCCACCTCCATTAAACTTTATTTACAGAGCAGATGGCAGGGTGGCTGTAGTTTGTCCGTCCCTTATCAATACAAAGGGCATCTCAGTAGCCCCTTTGGCATGGCGGTGTTGTAAGGACCAGAGGATGTTTAGAGATGTGCACAAGTTCATGTGTTCTGAGTGAGCTCCACCTGTTGTCACTGGTTATGCTACCGTGGCTGCTGAGTGCCACTGGAAAGCAGCTCTGGGGGAGAAAGGCAGTTGTTTTTGTTGTCTGAGTGGTTTGTTGAAAAATGTTGGCACCATTCCTCCTAGTGAGATGAACTTCTCTTTGGAGCAGAGACAGGGATGGGGTAAATAAGCACTTGTCTCAGGGTCACAAAAGAGCCTCTGGGGCGGGGGAGGGGGGAAATTGCAGGGTGCCAGGGAGGGAGCAGAGCCAGAGATGGCACACAGTGCCTGAGCTCTCTGGTGTGGGTAGGAGAGTTTAGGTCTCTCACAGGCACTGTACCATGCTCAGGGCTGTCTGTGGACCACAGACTTTGGCACTAAAAGACCTGATTGAGTTGTGCTTTGACATTTTTCCTACCCACAGGATTGTGGGTGAGTTACTTTTTCTGATGCTCTTTTTAAGAGCATTAAGTGCAGATTTTAAACAGGACCTACTTCATTGTTATTTGGAAATCATATGTGAAAGGCCAGGCTTGGGACATAGTGGATGTTCAATAAGCATTATCAATGGTCACCATGAAGTCAGTGTATCCACACTGATACCATAGCCCCATACAATCCTTACACCAGACTGAGAGAGATGGACAATGTCTCACTTTATAAATGAAATGGAAGCAAAGATCCTTTGTCTTGAGTTTCACAGGATGGCTGAGTTTGAGCTGGGGAGACATAAGGCTCCAGACATATTCTGCCACACCACTGTGACATGCCTTTCACCGACACTGTTGTTATGCAGCAAACAGGGTGTCTCCCAAATCCTCCAAAATATCTCCATTTACACCCACAGCTTCACAACTCTTTCCCTTCATCACCTCTGAGCCCCACCTCTGGCAGGTGTGTATTTGTTATAGAATAACCCTAAGTTGCTTTTGCAGAAGTCAGATTTTACAGAGGTTCAATGTGAATCTTGAGAACTAACCCAAAGATGTGAACCCCAAACTTCCAGAAGATACCTCTGCTAGCTGATGGGGCTTTCCTCCACACTTCTGCCTCTCCCAGCTTCTGTTCAGCATCTTGACTACTCAATAGAATGTCTTCTGATAGGAGCCTTGCGCTGTTAAACTTGGAATTTAGGAACCATGAGGTCCACTTCATGTTTCTCTCTGGCTTTGATGGGGCAGGGGCGTGATGGTGTTACGTACTTGGGTAACAGAGGGATGACAGGATGAAGTTGAACATCAACCTTTGGCCTTCTTCCTTAACAAAATGCTGGTTGTTCCTGGGGTGGGCAGAGGCAGGACTGGGAAGAAGCTGGAGAAGGCAATGTCACATGACAAGGGAGGCCTGCTGGAGCCAGAGAAGCCTTGTCTGTATGTGGTCTCTAGTTGTTCCACTGTATCCCCCTACTAAGAGCTCAAGTTGGTAACCCGTTGTGGTATGGTCCAGACTCATTCAGCTTAGAAGCAGGTCTCTTGGATTGCAAACCACAGTAGGTGCTCAGTGCACATTTAGAAATTCATCTTTTCTGTATTGGGATCTAAATCATTTGAATCATCAATCTACTCCATGCCAAGACAGTCTCAGCAGAGCTTGCTAAACTGACTTCTCTGTTGATTCACTCACCAATGAATGACTGAGCTCCTACTGTGTTCAGGCACTGTGCTAGGTGCTTCTACCAGAGGCTACCTTCTCCTTGATTCTATCTAGAATCTGGAAAC